TCTTGCAGGACTTGATCTCGAAGCTTGTATGTAATGTTCGGTTGGTGGCGAATGTGAAAAACCTTACACTTCCCCGAATAGAACTGGAGCAGATTGTGGAGCGACCACCCATCCGCTCTGTTCAGGTCTCGCTGAAGTGCGCCGTGATCTGCTGGGTCGGTGATCGTCCGTCATATCTTAACCTCGTCAGCGAACAGCGAGAAATCTGAAGTAATCAAACGCATAAGCTCAGTAGTGAACATGAGAAACAGACGTGGCCCCAGGACGGATCCACATTAAACATAAATCGGCTCGAACAACGCTCTTTGAACTCTGACGTGCAGTTGCCGATCCTACAGGAAATGCCTGATCAATCCAAGAACTGGATCGCCAACTCCATAGCTGCCGAGTCTGTGAAGCAAAATACCGTGGTCCAGTCGGTCGAAGGCATTGGAGAAGTCGAGGTAAATGACGTCTGTCCCTCTGTCCTCATCGACCGCTTCCTTCCAAGCAACGCCAGCGCACTAGTTGAGCCACCACTAACGAATGGACATTATTACGGAGATCTAAGAGCCAGCTAACGTTCCGTAACAAAATTTACATTATGCCGAATAAGTGATCTCGTGGTGTGAGAGGGTTTTAAGCGGGTGGAAAAGAGATAAAGCAACTCACAATACACGCACCAGTGAAGCCGGCTCTTGGATATATCAATGCGGGTATCCAGCCAAACATGTTTATCGTCTTCCAGGCCCCAACCAGGGAGTCTATAAGCTATAACAGGGGCAAATTTCGAAGTAGGGGCCTTCATTCATCTAGACCATATCGTCGGTTGGCCTCCTATCCGCTTTTTCCATTCACACTCCGGTCGTGCAAGCAACGCACGTCTCGGGCGTCAACGTGCTGGCATACGCAAAAGATGGCCAAACTATTAAAGCCTTCTTCGTGAAGTAACGGTGCTTTCATGCGAATGGAAATAATGGGCGGGTAGGTGCTTGGTCGATCAACTGTAATGAATGTGCCGCGAAAACGTGATCAAGTATGCAGTCCGAGCGGATAGGTAGGAGCGGTTCCCTTATCGGGACACAAGTCACCACAGTCGTGCTACCTGCTCACTGCTCTAACGCCAGGCCTGGCTGCTCTGTTTTGAACGGGAGCTTGATGCTGGGCTTCTAGGTTGAGGCTCTAATTCCTGTTAGTGCGGCAGGACTGGTCTTACGGTGGTTGGTCGATCTACAATCTCTGCCAGTCTGTCGCAGTTCTGCACAAGTACAACTATGCCGCTGAGGAGTAGATGATCTATTCATTCTCCACAAAATCAAACGAAAGCGGTCGTATTTTTGAGTTTTTTATCGCTCTTAAACTAAGGACAGCTCAGTTAGGATGCTGTTTGATGTACAACAATTGGAGCATTCAATTTCAAACCGAACATTCCTAAGACAACTTTCAACACCCCAATTAACCTCCAGTAGTAACATTTTAACCTTTTACTGCATGGAGTATCTGCAGTCCAAAGCGAAAGCTTGCTGAATTCCCTCCAAATAACTCCACTACTTTGGCGTTTGAAATACAATTTTGCGGTCAAACAGAACGACAAACAACCGAAATAAACCGTGAACAAATGTTCTATCGAGGGCAAGTACTCTTGAAGTGAATTTTTTGACAATTTGCTGGTATGTTGCCTACTGACAACAGTATGCAGTAACGGATTAAGCTTTGCTTTCTGTGGGCAGGCAGTATGTCTTTGTTAACGCTGATTCATTTACATTACTGGAAGTGTTGTTTGCTGTACGGTCTATCCCAGCAGAATAATTCCAAAACTTCTCAATCACTGTGGTCATGACGCTCGCACACTTTCGAAGGTGCATAATTTTGTGGTCACGCACAGGTTGTAAGGTGAATCAACCGCCAATTTTCCAACGCTTGGGGCAATGTTGGGTCGAATCACGCTTCGACATGTTGTGCAGCTTCTCGTCTGCAATCACTGGTCAGGTAAATACTTGGGCTTGTTGGCTGCCGGGTTGATGTATTTCTGCTATGACCGGGGAGGAACCTGTTTCTGAAGCTATATGAAAACGATATGTGCAGAGAGAACAGAAGTGTACAAATTTTTCCACAGACTTCTTGAGAAACACCATATTTGAATAAGATTAGGATCATCGGAGAGTCGCGAGATTTCTGTTCTGTTGATGTCACACATCTTAGGACGGAAGGCAGAAGAGATAATGTTACGCAAGAGCATTTAATAACGGCAGCTGCTTAAAGCTGCTGGATTGCGTAATGATTCAGTGAATAGCGCTAGTGAGTCCAATTCGTCTAATCGTACAGTGTATTCGCTGAAAGAATGCAGAGAGGAAAAACTCCGTAAAAAGTGAAGCGCGAAAACTACGCTTCTGGCGTCGTGTGTCATACTAATCAATGAATGTGTTATGTCCCCCTCTCGGTAACGCCACGCTCTGACGATCCGGTATCAACTCTCCTAGTCGGACGAACGAATGGGGTTCCGAATCATATCCACGCAAGATAGGGTAACCGACGAAATTCAAAGTTCGCACGAGCCGTGAGACTTAGGGACAACACGGTTACTACGCGCAATTTGATCGGACTCCTAGACCGAACGCAATTTCACACGCGACTGTCTGAACCCGAAAGAAATAAGACAAAAGACAAACCTTTCTCAAAAGTCACTTTTACCTGCCAGGTTCAAGGAGGTTACAGTGCAGTTCACGTTTGCTTACATAACACGATTGTAAAATACGGGAATTTTTACGTAGGACGGTTTGCGTAAGCGAACTCTAGAAGCAAAGCGTAACTGAATTAGCGCTGTGTGAATATACCAATGAAACATGTCAAAAAGTGAATGTTGGTAGTTGCGCAGTTTGCACTGGAAGAATGAGTGTTTATTACGTACAAAGGCTGATCGCGAAGTGAAACTCTCACGAGCTGGTAAGCTGATCGAAACATGTGTACTAGTCTGAATGCGAGTCTCATTGCATCCCGTGGTTTCAGCTTGCGATCTTATAGAGATGTTAGGTCCTCATAACAGGAGGTCATTAATTTAGCTCTCTTTCACCGTCCACGCAACCTCAACGTTATTATGACCACATATAAGGAATTGTCCTTCTTCCTTTGACTGCCTCTTACACGGTTGATGTGACGGAAGCATTTAGCCCACACAACGTATGCAATATATATATATATATATATATATATATATATATATATATATATAACGCCTAAATTGGCAGACTGCTACAATAAACGTAAAACCTCAAAAAAGGCGAAGAGGCTGGTAAGGAAAGGGTTAGCAGATAGAATGATAAATAAACCATAAGCACAATAAATTAGTGTATATTGTGCTTCTGCCTCCGATACTTGAATTAGGGCTTCCAGAGCTGATGGAGGAGATCGCACAGTGTGCGAATGCGATTGGGTGTTTAATTCAGGCACTCCGTGTCACCGACCGCTGCTTAAAATTGGACCGGTCCGATCATCCGCTGCAGAAGGTACTCGCGCGTTCTCAAAGAGCGTCTTTTGCACAACCATAAGCATATATATATATATATATATATATATATATATATATGTATATATATACCCAGCTTAAACTGGAGAAATTTCATTTCAGGTTACTTGGTTGGTTCTGCCTACCCGAATAATCTATTAACTTGCACACGTTGCTTCCGCCAATTGTGATTATCTTCGTTAACTTTTTCGCTTTTTTGCCATTTTTTGGGTAACTTGTGGACAATTTGTACTCATCGCAATTACGTTGCTAACCAACTTAATTCATATGCTAATTTAGCAAAGTTATGTCGGCATAGCCCGATGCATTTACAGCTATAGTTTATTTGATAATGTTATTTCAAGTGTTTGGCTGTTGCTTAATATTCTCTGTGTGCATGCGCTTGATGTGCATGTTGACAAGGTGCCTACCTGTCTAGTACCCAATACTTCGTCCATATTGGCTCTAGGACACAGTTGGTCTTTGCTACAGGGGACGGCGTGCAGGTACTACTGACGGTGCTAGGCTCAAAGAGCGGTTCCATGCACTTAGTGTGGAGCGAACTACGGTCCAGCCACCGCCTTGTGTGAACTTGATTTCCCAGATACAGCGTGCTTGTGTTTGCCTGTGAAGGAGTGTGGGCAGGCTCATTTGATGAAACCTGACTCCCATCCATATGCTTCTCGGTCATATTCCTTTGGGTTTACACTGTATATGGGGTGTGGGCTCGGAACGGCAGTTAGTGCAGCGCAAACCACGCATGCTCCTTCTGTATGCACAGGCGTCCTGTGTCTGGCCACGTTGACATGAAAATCGCAAACCGGATGCCCCTATATAACCAACTGGCAGAGTGCCACAACGGATGGGTAACACCAAAACAAAGAGCAGACAGCCAAGAGAACGGACACGAAATTTCATGCGTTGTGTGGCCAAAAAACTTCAGTTTATGCAGGCCGAAGAAGAGCTGAGATATATGACAATTATGATTAGTACTATTTTCACTAAGAATACCATAAGCAAACATCTGGCTGATTGTGGAGCGTCTAAGTCAGCCCGTTGTCGGTTACTGAAAGGCGCGTTTATAGCATTCAGATGGTGCTCTGGCACTGCGGTTGTCCTTATATGCAGCATTGAGCTACCACATTCCAGTGCTAAAATGGCGGCATTTTAACGGATCTGGAAACGCATCACTCGTAAACCACACTCAGTCCCAATTGGTTGATTCGGGTGTCTAGTTTTCTTCTAGTTTTCAACTACTTACTTCTGTCGAGTAGCAAGCAGAGCGTAAATAAATAGTGGTTTCTAAGCGTGTTAACCACCCGATAGCTTCGAAACGCAACATCCGAAACGGCCACTCCCACGTCGCCCGGCAACTTTCTACCGGGGGTCAAAATGTGCTAGAAATTACTATCAACAACACCATGTATCACCTAAAGGGTCCGAATGACCGCAACCACAGTAAAACTGCATTTCCCAGATGCTAATGAAGTCTGGGAAACCGATCAAAACTAGCTGGAATCAATACAACTGGAAGACGTGTATGTGAAACGAATTGGAAAGAATAACCCACATTGCTGTGTCCAGGTACATCATCATTCGTGTCACGCACATCGAAATCCATTGCGTTTACCCTCCAGCCCACCATTTACTCTGAGCGCATCACTATTTCCCATCTGTCGAAATGCGCGTTGGAATTCTGGACGACTTGTTTGGTAAATTTCTCGGAGCTTTGGTCTGCTTTAAATGCGTTTTGGTCATTGTCTGTGCTGGGCCATTAAAGGCTGCTCTATTTCTCTCGCGCTTTGCACAAGAATCGCTTTTTATCTTGTTCTGATTAGTATTCGTTCCATCAAACAGACCCCCGTCCGGTTGCATGACTACGCGGAGCAAAATCTGCCACTCCTCATCAGTCAAACTCTCCAGAATGTCATGAAAAGCGCTCACTTCATTTTGATCGGTTGGAGAATCAGGTTGCACATTGATAGTGGACACATGTTTACGAAAGTATTCCTCCAAGATCTCCAGCCTTTCTTGTAATTTTGTATGGGGTTTCGGGTTACCTCTCTGTGGAGTTTGATCATCTGGCTTCGATGCAATATTTTTCAACGTCTCGCCGTGGGCGTTACACTTTTCTGTAGAATTTCCATATACATGCGCCAGAGAACGTCCTGAGGTTTTCTTACTAAAGCCTGCACCTACTAGTGAATTCGTATCATGCGATCTGTTAAGATGTGGTCCACCGGAATTGACCTTTTGAATCGGTTTGTCTGAATTCCTTCGGACACAGGAATGGATTTTAGCCTTAGGACCCTCATGTTTTACTTCCAATATAGACTGTATGTCTATTTGTTCACTTCTATTTTCTGCATGACCGCTAGCTTGACTTTTTCGGAAAGTTGATGTTCTGCATTTGTAAGTGTGGTGACTCCGCCTCGGTTTTTCACATTTAGGTCCAGTATTTTCTGTGAAGTTGTCCAAGTCATGGTTACTTTCAGTCCATTGGAGATAGTTGGCAATAGCAGCGTCGTTATGTGAGACCTCACCATTTTCTGGTGAGTTCTGTATAGTAGGCTTGTTGGATTCCATTATCTCTACGTGGATGCAATATTCTTTTAGAATAATCATTCATACCTTTTAAACCTGTATCTTCTTCCTCACGCTGTTGCTCAACCGTGTTTCCCTCACGGGGCGAATAATTTCTAGCCGAGTTTTCTGTTAAAAGACAAGCAAAAATATAGTATTAAGTAATTTGTCTGACCAGCAGACGTGCCATAATATCACCTGAGATAAATAACCGTTATAAAAGCAGCAATAGTCAAAAAGCAGATCAGTTTGTATGTACAGATTATGCCAACCGGTACTTGGACTCGTGAACGCGTAAAGCTACCTGAGAACTTGTGGTTCCCAAAGATATTGTTCGCCTCAAGCTGACTTAGGTTTCGTATACAAGGGATTATCCCCTACTTGAATTTAACTTCACGAAGACAACAGTCTGAGTGGCGTTATCAGTCCGTCGCGTTTATACTCAATGCCTTGGTGTATTAATTCGATGTACAGTTTGCTGAGGCGCAAAGTCACAAACAAATTCGTTCTAGTAGTAAACAGTTTTGGTGATTCACGCACCCATCAGTTCAGATAACCCATTTGTCAACAGCAAAATAACATGCGTAACTCATTTGATTTTTAAGGAAGCAAAACAAACCCATTCTAAACAAGCCCTAGTCCAAGTAACTTGAATTCGAAAATTCGTCCCTACCCATGAGAAACTGCAGTTGCTCGTAAGGAACGCACCAGCTGTAATGCAATAACAAACGACAGCAAACAGGCGTAAGTAAACCCAGGAAGAACAAGAGACTCGAGTTCGGGACTCAAGGGGTTCAGACTATGACAAGACGGATGAATTTTCACCATAGGAGACCCTGGAGTGAGTGACTGCCATTTTAGTTATAAGTTTGTATTACAGTATGTTTGTACCAATGTGCTTCATCGCTTGCCGATAAAAATTTGTACTGCAAGCAAACTTAGCAGCTGATGGAATCATTGTTGTAGTTATATTGCTGCAATGCACGTGTAAAGGTCTGCTCAAAAGATTTTCCCAATAAGCCATTAATCATTTATTCCATTTGTAGAGAAAAGTATGTTTTACTAATGGACAGGACAGTTTACCTGAATGGGCGGAGACCACCTCGGGGTGTGAACCTTCCAAAGTAGCAACTACATCTGTTCCGAAATTATCAAGCTTCACAACTTCAGGTGTGCACAAATTTCGTGAGACTGTCTCATGTAGTGAATCACTCTCCTGGAGCACTTCCTCTTGTATTCTCAAGGTAAACTGATCTGTGGGGATTGAAGCTTTCGGGTAGCGGTGCGTAGTAATTGTTTGCTCGCTTTCTTCCTCAGCTTGGAGCATACTGTGCGAGCCTGAGGATAAGTATATAGCGAGTTCATTAGTTCTGTACACATCAATTGTAGTTAGTGCCACTTATAAAAGCATCAGCAATATGATGGTAAGTAGTGGCGATGCTTCGCTGCACACCAGTTGCTTGTGGACTAAGGACACTACGATCTGGAAAATAATTAGAGCACAGGAAGAACACGAGGAAGAGTAGTAGTATTAGCAACTGTCAAAAGAATCGGCATGGAGCCTAACGATTCCATGTCAATCACTGGAAGAGTAGAGGTTTAATCAACGGATCATCTTTATGACACATTATATGAAGGTGAACAAAACTCTTTAGCTACAGTGCCGCAAGAAGAACGGAACACTTTTGTCAATTTTTGGTCATTTTTTCACATGTCACTCTTTCATGGTCTTTTACAACTTTTAAGCCCTAAGAATATAAATCTAAGCACACATGTACAGAGATCTTTCAACGGTTTCGATTGCTCGCTATATCCTGATTTGTTTATAGTTATCGTCACCTCTTTTCTGTTGGGCTCCAACCAGGCAGTCTGTGTATGCAACGGTAGTAATGTAGAGGGGTCGCTTCCAAGAATGCCTCGGGGGAGCTCTTCGGAGCTAGCTGAGAGCGGATCGAGAAGGACGGCTAGCGACGAGCCTGGGCCCGGAACTACGGAGCGGGAATATGTGGACAGCGCAATAAATCAGACATATACGCTGCTAGCGCAGCCCACAGGACCGAGGCCGAGCCGATTGACACAGCCCAGAACAAGCAAGTCGAGAGCTCTCGAACGACTCCTGGCCGATCCAAATCGGGTACAGAGAAGTGGAGATCGAGACGAAAACAGGAAGGCGGGTCTTCCAAGTCAGAGCTCCCGAGGCGAAAGGACTGGCTCGTCTCTAACATCCGCACCTGTGTTGCGTTGTGGGACGGAAATCTAGTCGATATTCGATGGCGCGAGTGAGACCCCGGGTATGCCCATTTTCGGTGTGTAATAAACGTCTGCCCCCCTCCCTGTCGTGTCGTTCCCGCTACAGTAAGACATGAAGTCCAAGATAGAAAATGCTGTCACCATGTGAAAGCTGACCGCCACGTGATCTCTTCCAACCAATTCCTGCACGAGCGAAATGGGTGCAATAGGGCAAACGCTCAGCTGTCATACGCAGGATGTGACCGAGCCATTTTAGTTGAGTCAGCAAAACTAGCTTGTTAAAAGGAATGCTCGCATTCCCTAAGACATGACGTCTGGCTTCACTGCTGAAGCTATGTTACAGCTACCACCCAACAGAGGCCTTGTCCAAGCACCCATGATCGAAGGCCGAGAGTCAGCGCATATCATCGACGCAAACTGGCCAAGACTTGTTTCCACATAACGACACCGCTTAAACGGCGGCACCGTAAACGCTACGTTTTACCAAGAGGGAGACTTGTTGACGACACCAACAGAGTTTCAGGTTAACAAACTCCGACAGAGCTTCGGCAATGCGAAGGGAAAATTCCTTCTCAATTGCGTCACCAGCAGACAGGCAGCTGCCCAGGTTGACAAACTTATCCTCTTGTTCAAACTGTGTGTCTTCCAGGGTGAGCACTGGAACGGGTTAGTGCCAATTCTGGAGAAGCACTTTACACTTCGTCGGTTTAAACTATTTTGCGTATGCTGCAAGTCACCATCAAGTACGGAGATATCATCAGCAGAATCTTAGTCAATCGCTCACTTGCCCGATAGTTACTGCAGAGCATAATGTTGGTAGCCCTAAGTAGCTCTCCACAGGACGTATTCGATCGCAAACTTGAAGAGAAAAGGGGATATAGGACATTTCTATCGTGCATCGGTTTTGACTTCCAAGGGCGAAGGAAGCTAACCATATACCTTCACTCTGCCAGAGATATGTCCGTAGAGTGTGCGTAGGATGACAGTATACTTTTCTGGGACCCCCGTACTTTATGAAGCAACGACAATACAGGTCGCTTAACCGTGCCAAACACCGCACGGATGTCTAAGAAAGCAACAATATTAGGTCCCTGGTAGAGGTGGCAGTGTTCAAAGATTTGGTGAAACGTGAATATTTGATCCACACACCTACAGTCAGGATGGAAGCCAGCTTGTTAGTCCCAGTACCGTGATTCACGAATCGGGGATAGTCTAAAAAGTAGAATGAATGCCAACAGCTTGGAGGCAACCGAAATGAGACTAATCCCGCTGTGATTGGTGCAAGAAGTACGAGAGCCTCTACTAAAATTCAGGAAAATAATTGATTAGCCCCAGGAAGAAGACAGCTTTACTTCATGGTAGGTTTGGAGCACAATGAGGTTAGGTGGCTATTGATAACTGCACATAACTACTTGAACAGCTCCGGAGGAAGTCCGTTTGAGCCGGCTACCTTTAATCATCTCAAGTGTTGAATCGCTTCGCTGGGTGGATCAAGCGTGAGGATCCAAGGCACGCAGCTGAGCTCAGATGGCATACAAGTGGAATGGGAATGAAAATATTCGGCCCAACGATCCAAACATCTCTGTTGGGAATCGGCGAACCATCCGCTTCGCAAATAATCTCAATGATACCAGGCTTCCTGTGACCAGTGTATCGAATGTGCTGGAAGGGTATGCGATTATTACCAGATAGGGTAGCGGCCTCTATTTCCGGAGCAAGCTGAGACCATGGTGTTTCACGATCACTGCGCAGGTTGGGTCTGAGCTGCCGACTTCAAGAACGGCGTACTCTATTATGATCAGACTCCGCGGGGATAACCCCGCTGCAGTCAAATAGGTCCAGTGTGCGTGTAGAGATGCAGGCCTTCATAGGGAGTTGAGTAAGACCACTGACTAACTGCCGGAAGATATCATGTTCCTCTGCATGTAGATACAAAGAAAAGACGGCTGTGTGGATAGTGGGTCCAAGTAAACTGACCGAAGTGACAACAGTTGTGTAGATGAACCCCGAATATCCCATCCTGTTTTACCTTCGTCCCGCTCAATTATCCCCTCGCCCTGATTCCCATTTTTAGTTGCCCAACACTTGTCCTTATCCCAACCCAAATTTCTTTACGGTCTAGCTCTCAGTTCACATGCTATTATACAATGTTAACATAATTCCGTTTTCTGTTAGCACTGCGATTTGACCACATCGCACTAAATCGCGCACAACTTGGCGTAGTTCAAACCCTGGAACGAATTCATTATCTGTTCACATAGTAACACCAGATGTGTTAGCTGGACACTGGAATGTTACCATCTCTACTCCTTAGGCTATCCGGACACGAATGTGTAAACTGTGTTGTTACATAGCGGCTCACGCTATCTCACATTACAATAGTGACCTCGAAAGATTACTGTGTTTAAATGGTTGGAGGTTACACACTCGGTAACAATTTGGTTCGTGCGGCGTATGGCTTTGTTCTCCCTATGTGCGATTCAACTAGTTACGAGACAAGCCTGTGATGACATGTTCAGGTAGACAAGAGAATTCTCCAGTATATCGACTACAAATGAGCAGAAAATTCAAAACAATACCACAAATAGATGTTCAAGCTTGATAACACATAACACTTCATTGTTGTTTCAGTGTGTTGTCTAATATTGCATAGAACGTCTATTTCGGGATTGGCAGGCTCCTTGGGAATGTGAATCCAGATGGCTTAATAGCTTTCCGACAATACGATAATGGGTTAAACATAAGGATAATGAATGCATAAATTTTCTTCAAACACAGTGTGAAGGTTGCCTGGTCCAAGATCGTCAAGTAATATTGGATAATGATCGTGGTACTCACAAGATACTGGAGCTAGAGAGACGCCTAGAAAGAAGAAATATAGGAGTACACTGCAGTAAGAGTTATAGGAACATGAAGACGCCGAATATTCAGAGGCGTGTTCAGTTTGTTTCATTTTTTCAGTACACACTTGTCATTGATAACATTGTGGTTGGCATAGCATTGTAGAAAGAAGAAAGATACTGAAGGTGAATGTGAAGGTATTCCCGCTGCTATATTCACTCTCTGTTATAAACTGTTTCCGTAATAATATGAATCCCGTACCTTGTATGAACGGCTCCAGTGCGATCTTAACACAGTGTCGAACTGGTCAGTTCAAAACGCTCTACCGTTCAACGTAGACAAATGTCGCGTAGTACAATTAAGCCATAGACATAACTACACCTACATACTTGGGACAAACGAATTGCAGAATAGCCCCCAGGAACGTGATCTTGGTGTGATCGTACAGACCGACCTCAACTGTTCAAAACAGGCTGAGGTAGCTGCCAAAAGAGGCAACCAGCACGTCGGCATGCTGCGAAGGGCATTCGGGAGATTTGACCCATCAATCTTCCCAATGATGCTCAATTCCTACGTGCGCCCGCATATTGAGTACGCAATCCAAGCTTGGCAACCTTGGTTGAAACGCGACCTAGAAGCGATAGAGGCACCACAACGGAGAGCAACAAAGAACGTGAAGGGCCTGCGGTGTCACTCTTACCACCGAAGGCTGAAGTTGCTGGGAATTTTCAGCGGACGTTATCGAAGGCTGCGCGGCGATCTCATATTAGCGTATCAAATATTGTGTGACCCCAACCACGTATGCCGCCATTTGCTGAAACTTAGCCAAAACACGCAGCTCAGGGGTAACTGCTTAAAGTTGAAGGAACAATATAGCCGTCTAGAGTGTCGACGGAATTACTTTTCCCTTCGGGTTTGCAAACCATGGAACGCACTCCCAGACTCAGTTGTATCCTCTCCTACCCTGGACGTTTTCAAAAAATGATTAGATGTTGCTCTCAGCTCCCAACATTTTGTTACCTATGCTCCTCTGTTGTGGATTACGCCAAGCATGTTTTCAGCAGGACTAATGTATCAAATGGACCTAAGTGAGCGACCATATTTCATTTTCTCACTCCTTACCTCAACTATCACTGCGCCCCAGTGTCTTTCTGAATGTTTACGCGCGATATTTATTTTTCATTTTACACTGATGTTAATTATCAAAGTATTCATCTCGGCAGACGTTCGATAGATGACCCAGACAT